ATAGATTGTTTATTCCTTTTTTAGAAAGAAGGGAGGTGTCATGCCAAAAGCATGAGTTGGTGTTGGATGTGTCTTGAGATATGTTAAGAGTTGTTTTTTTGTAAACCTTGAAACCTTGCAATGACATTTATTGTGGTCTTTGATCTTGCACCAGGCCTAGACCATAAAACATCTAGATAGCCATCACCAGAGCTGGACACAAGGAATTGCATAGAGTGGGCAATAAACTGCCAGACCAACCCCCTCTGATCCCCACCCCCAGGGGTCTGCCCACTGAGAAACAACTAGTTTAGGTACATAATGAGGGTGCTGGACTATCCAGCTCAGTTATTAATTTTTTCTTTGGTCAGTAACTTCTAGGAGACCTATGCCATCTAAGACTCCCACAAGAATTCTATATGGGGTAAATATATGTAAGGAATTTCTTGTGTTTTCTCCTATTTTATTTTATGTACTGTTTTGCAGTTTGTTATCTGTATGTCATTTATTTCTGTATTTTGTACTCAGCACTGTGAATCTTTTTTGTCAGATTAAATGTTTACTTAATCAGCTTGTGTCTCTGTTCTCTATGAGCTTCACTCTCTAGAGGAAAGCTCAGGTAAACACGTTACCAAAAAGGTTATTTATATGTGTTTGATCAGTAAAAGTAGAAATGTGATTCTATAATTCTCCTGTGTGTGGGGTAACCTAAGACATCCGGGTTTAAAGTCTTGGTGGTGGCAGTAAAGTGTGTACTAGGGGGTTAGTGTAGAAGGGATTGCAGGGGTTAATTGAGTGGTTGCTGGGACTAGCAACAAGTAACCAGGGGTCTGGTGTCATTAACCCTGTCACTTCCACACTCTCCCCACTGTCATGGCTGGGTCTATAGCCCAGGCTCGTGACAGGAGGTGCTAAAGTTATTCCACGACAATGTGACTGTTGGACATCCGGGTATTAATAAAACTATATCCGCTGTCTCGAGATCGTTCTGGTTGCCTTCCCTCAGGAAAGACATCTAAGAATATGTGGAAGCTTGTACAGTTTGCGCGGTTTTCAAGGTTCCCCATAAACTTCCATGTGGGTTATTACAACCACTGCCTGTACCCAGTGTCCCATGGTCTCATTTGTCTATGGACTTCATTGTGGAACTCCCGAATTATAATAATTATACCACCATCCTTATTTACTTTACTTAACTTTTTTAAAATAGCACACTTCATTCCACTCAAACAATTGCCTTCCTCCCAAGATGTAGTTCATATATTTTTACGTGAGATTGTCAGGTTACATGGTATTCCTCAAAAAATAGTGTCTGACAGAGGGTCCCAATTTGTGTCACGATTACTAAGGGGTTAGGGAGAGGGAGGACCACTAAAGGGGTGAGGGGGAGGATGACCACTAAGGGGGGGGGAGTGAGAAGACCACCAGCGCTGTGCACTTCCCTCCTGTTGGTCACTCAAATCTGGTGCCCCCTGGGCCGGTGCATCCTAGAGGACTGCCTAAGACACGAATAGGATGTGCCGGCCCTGCGTATACCTAATTCCTTTTATGTATCTTTACTTAAGCCTCTTATTTGTAATAGGTACACTGTCCCTCTTGGCCCTCCTCCTCCCCTGGTTGTTTCTAGTAGGGAGGAGTACAAGGTCTCTTCCTTGTTTGATTCCAGGTTTTTTTGGGGGTTCCCTGCAATACCTGGTTTATTGGAAGCGTTATGGGCTAACTGATCGTTCCTAGGTTCCTGCCTCTGATATGCATGCTGGCCACAAAATTTGTGCTTTCCATGCCAAATTTCTTCTCGAACCTGGTCCTGCCCGCCCAGTTTGCGATCTTCAGATGGGGGGTAATGTCACGTTTTCAATGAACAACAATAATCAACTTTCCAGGAATAGGAGATGTGCTGCTCGGCGGTCCTATGCCATAAGACCAGGCTTTTTCGACATGTCAGTGGACGCCAGCCGCTGCGGATCCACACTGTTATGTAGCCCCATGTCTGTTCACAATGGTGGTGACATCGACATGAGGATGACGTCACACAGAGGATGCACGCGCACTTTTGGGGTCATAGGCCACATACGGCCAATCGGATTCACAAGAGTGATACTTGAACTCACTCATTTCTTCTGCTCATTGCCCTGTCGTGGTTTCCCTTTGCTGGTTATTCAGAGAGTGTGTACCTGATCGTATTTCTTTGGTATTTGACTTTAGCTTTGTTCTTACTTCCCTGATTTCTGGTATCCCTGACTATCCCTGACTATTGGCTATTCCTTGCAACTGTGTTTCGTTCTGTGTTCCTGACCCCTGCTAGTATTTTGACTATTCTCTTTTACGTTAAGTCCGGCCATTATAAGGTCTGGTTAGATGTTATCATTATTCTTATGTGTGCTACTAATACTGCGTGTTGGATCAATTGTAATCCAGACAGCACCCTCACATAGCAAGTGACCCTCCTGTCCCAGACTGTGAGTGAATTGCGGCGTGGCTATGCTCATTTAAAGGAGAACACACACCATGCCCCTGCACTTGATGTTTCCTTGCCTGAAAGGTTCACTGGTCTTCCTTCTGCTCCCTTCCACCATGCTTCAAAGTGGGGATGGTATTCTTTTCACTATAGGCCTTGTTGATCCCTCTCCAAACATTGCGCTTATGGCTGTGACCGTAAAGCTCTATTTTGGTCTTGTCACTCCAAATTAAGTGTGCCAGAAGCCAGTGTGCCAGTGTCAAGTTGTTATCGGGCATAATGTAACTGGGCTTTTTTGTGGCATTGGTGCAGTAAAAGCTTCTTTCTGGCAACTTGACCATGCAGCTTATTTTTGTTGCGTAGTTACATAGTTTCATAGCAGAAAAGAAACTTGCATCCATCAAGTTCAGCCTTTCTCACATATGTTTTTGCTGTTGATCCAAAGGAAGGCAAAAAACTCACTCTGACCCCAAAATGGCAGTCAGATATCTTCTTGGATCAAGAAGCTATTATCCCACTAATTAGAAATGATATCCCTGTATATTATGTTTTTGCAAGTATTTATCCAATTGCTGTTTAATCACCTGTATGGATAAAATCACCTCTTAAGGCAGAGAATTCAATATCCTTATTGTTCTTAAGGATATGTTTATGAATAGATTTCCAGACAATGGTTTGTACTGGCCCCAAATACATTTGTATAATGATATCATATAGCCTCTTAGGCACCATTTTTCCAAACTAAAGAAATTTACGTTTTTTTAACCTTTCATCAATATTAAAATATTCCATTCCTTTTATCAATTGTTTTTTGGGTCATAATATCCTTCTTTAAAATGGGTGCCCAAAATTGCACAAAATATTCAAGGTGTGGTATTACCAGCGATTTATAAAGTGGCAAAATTATATTTTCATCCTGAGAGTTTAGGCCCTATTTATACATAACAAAACCTTATTGGCCTTAGTAACTGTCACTTGACATTGCATATTGCTGCCTAACTTGCTGTCTTTAATAATTCCCAAATCCTTCTCATGTGTTGTTACCCCTAATTCATTTTAGTTCCCAGTCCCCTAATCTATCTAAATCTTGCTGCAGCAAAGCAATATCCTGATCACATTTTATTAATTTACAGAGTTTTGTGTCATCTGCAAACACTAAAACATGGTTTTCAATGTCTATTTCAAGATAATTTATAAATATGTTAAATATAAGCTGTCCCAAAACAAAACCCTGAGGGACACCACTTACCGCTTTTGTCCAGCTTGAAAATGTATCATTATTGACAACTCGTTGTACTCTATCCTTAAGCCAATGTTCTACCCAAGAACAATAATATTCATCTAGATAAATGTCTTTTAGTTTGAACACTAACCTATTGTGAGGAACCATATCAAATGTCTTGGCAAAATCCACATCCACTGCAACACATTATTATTATTACTATTATTGTTATTTATATAGAGCCATCAAATTCTGCAGTGCTTTACAATGAGTGTACGAACAGACATATAGTTGTAACCAGACAAGTTGGACACACAGGAACGGAGGGGTTGAGGGCCCTGCTCAATGAGCTTACATCCTAGAGGGAGTGGGGTAAAATGACACAAAAAGGTAAGGATAGTATTAGACTAGTGACAGTTGCAGAAGAGGAATCAGTCAGGAGCTATTAACAGTTTAATTGATACGTTTTTATGAAGAAGTGTTTTTTTAATTATTTTTTTAAAGAGTGGAGACTGGGTGAGCATCTAACGGAGGAGGGAAGCGAGTTCCAGAGGTGGAAGTATGGACAGAAAATAGACGTAAGTCTTCAGCAGATCGTAAGGGCCTAGACGGGACATACTTGTGTATAAGGGAGGATAGAGAGGTGGGAGCAGCATTATGTAGCCATTTGAAAGCAAGAACCAGAATTTTAAATTGAGCTCTATATTTTATAGGAAGCCAATGTAGGGACTGACCGAAGGGTGAGGTATGGGAGGTGTGGGCAGACAGGAAGATGAGCCTTGCTGCCGCATTCATTATGGACTGTAATGGTTCAAGTTGGGAGCACGTAAGACCACTGAGAAGCAAATTACAGTAGTCAAGGTGGGAAAGGACAGTGGAATGGACAAACACCTTAGTCGCATCTGGCGTTAAGTAGGGGCAGACGCGCGCAATGTTTTTTTTTCTTTTTGTAATTTAAAGTTTATTGAATTTTTTCAGAGATAGGTAACATTGGGATGGAATTGGGGTATAGAAAAGGAAATGGGGGAGACAGGTTATGGGGAATCTCAGAGGTACATGTGCATCCAAGTACATTTATTATTTAAACAGTTGACGTAGGGTTTCCAGGACAGTACATTCATGAAGTCACATATGTACATTATACAGTTTTGTGTTGTGTGTTCGCTTGTATTTGTTTGGCATGAAGTATTTCCCATATGTTTATCAAAGTAATGTTCTCATTCCTGCTCCAGCCCTACACTCTATGATTTAGCTACTGCTGAGTGGGGTGTGTGTCGTTACATCTATTGACGGTTGTCGATACTACTCACAGTATCACTTAGTTAGTGATTTACATTCTATTCAATTTGATGGGTTTGTGGCTTCTGGCTCTCGTACCTTGGGCTTTGTACATGCTATCCATGTTCCGTGTGCTTCATTTATGTGTGTTCGTGCGTCGAATTGTGTTGTCGCCATAAGTTCATACTCCCAATTTTGATCTACCTGCTTTATCAAGCCATCAATTGTGGGGGATATCATTTTTTTCCACAGTCTGGATATCAGCAAGTTTGCTGATATGATAGTGTGGTATATTATGGTCCCAATGTGTTTCGGGATACCCCTTGGCAGCATGAACAGAACACATGTTTGTGGGCTATCCAACCTGGGTGTCGGTAGCATTTTTCTAAGTAGTTTTTCCCATGTATCGTCTGGGATTGTATGTCCCAGCTCTTGGTGCCATGCTTGTTTAATCTTGTCTAGTGTTTGTGTTTGGGATATGATCAGTTCCTGGTATCCCCAGGATAGAGTCTTCATGAGTTTTGTGGTACCTATACAGTGTTTTTCGAAATACGTCATGTTTATCGTGATCTCTGGGTCTTTTTCGTCACGTATGACTTTAGTTGCATGTAGGAAAATGTGGTCTTAGTGGGCAATGCATACTCTGCTTGAATGGCTGGGAGTGTTTTCAGGTGCCCCTTGTCAATTACCTGATACATGTGGTGTATACCCCCCTCGCCCATGTTTCCCACGGAAAGATTGGGATCTCCAGCCCTATTGTTTGTATCGGCGTGGCCAGGGGAGTGACTGCTTTGTCACCAGGTTGTCTCTCATTTTGTTCCATACTTGTAACAGGGTTTGGGTGCTGGGCAAGAGTTTGTCCTGGATGTGTCTGGGGCATTTTTTGCTGCCATAGTATTGCTCGTAGATCCCTTCTAAGAGCCCAGTGTGATTCTATGGTTACCCATTGTGGTGCATTGGTTGGGTGGTTTATTTGTGCTATGCTATGAAGATACGCTGCCCTATAATAGGCTGTCAGGTTCGGGAGGCCTAGTCCTCCTCTGCGCACTGTTTGTTGTACTAACTGCTACTCTTGCTACTAACTGCTACTCTTGCTTTTTTCCCCTCCCATATAAAGGTGGTGATGATGTGTTGCATATTTTTTAGGTACTGTTTCGGTATAGGTATTTGTAGTGTACGGAAGAGATATTAGATTTTGGGTATAAGTGTCATTTTTACCGCCACTATGTGGCCCGTCCACGATAGAAACTTCCCCCTCCATGCCTGCATGGATTCTGTAAATTCCTTATCTTAACGTACATAGTTGTGGTTGAATGGTTGAGTGGTGTTTTTTGTGAGTTTAAGTCCCAGAAACGTCAGGTAGTCATGTCTCCAGTCTAGGGGGAATGCCGTGACCAGTCTGGTCATAAGGCTTTCGTTTATGTGTATCCCTAGTGCTTGCATCTTGGTTACGTTCAGTTTATAGTCGGAAACTGCTCCATATGTTTGTATGTGCGCCATCAGGTTTGGTAGGGAGATCAAGGGCTGTGTGATTGTGACTAGAATATCATCTGCAAACAAGTTAAGCTTATACTCTCTGTCTCCTAAGGTGATGCCATGTATGGATTGTTCTGCCCGGATTGATGCTGCTAACGGTTCCAATGTTAAGACCCGTTGGTTATGGTGATTTGTTTGGATACAAATCCTGCATTGAGGACCTTTGCTGTGTTGTGTGAGTATAGTGCTCTTACCGCATTTATAAATGGTCGGGGAAATCTGTATTTCTGGAGCACCGCCTCCATAAAAGACCAGTTAAGGCGATCAAAGGCCTTTTTGGCATCTAGTGAAAGCATTACTCCCTCCTCCTGGCCTCTACGCAGACTGTGCATGAGGTTGATCACTTTCCTCGTATTGTCCGATCCCTGCCTGCCCGTAGAAAGCCCACCTGACCATCATGTATCAGTGTGGGAAGAATGTGTGTTAGCCTAGTTGCCTGAACTTTTGCGTATAATTTTGTGTCTGTATTGAGTAGTGATATTGGCCTGAAGTTTTGGCTGTATTGAGTAGTGATATTGGCCTGAAGTTTTGGCTACATGTGGATGGTTTCTCTGGTTTATGCAGTGTAATGATGTGGGCACCCAACATATCTGCCAGCGCTTCTGCTTTCTTGGTGACGGCATTGAATAGGTTTACTAGGTGTGGTGCAAGGATGGAAGCAAATGTTTTATAGTATACATTAGTGAGCCCATCAGGTCCTGGCGCTTTCCCGTTTGGGAGACGTGTAATGGCTTGTAGGAACTCTTCTTCTGTGATAGGGACCCTTAGACATGGCAGGGATACCCCCTCTAAGTATCATTCTATGTTCACTTGTGATGGCTGGGGGGTAGCTGGGTCCTGTCCCAAATTGTATAAGGTTGCGTAATAATCTGCAAAGACATCACTGATGTCTTTGGGCATTATCCTTTTTTCCCCTGTCGTGTTCAGGATATATTGGATTTTTGAGTGTGCGTTCCTGTGTGATAGTCTCCTAGCTAATAGTTTGCTCACTCTGTTTGCCTGGGTGTAGTGTGTTGCCTTAAGTTTGCACATGGTGAATCTCAGTTTCGCTAAGTCATAATCTATTAATCTCTTCTAATACTTCTCTAATTTGTTCTTTTAGTTGTGGGGTCGGTGTTAGTTGGTTTTGTTTATTTAAGTTGTACAGGGACATCCTCTCCTTTTTGTTTGGGTTGCTCATTTTAGTGCGCTAGCTTTCCCTTTAAGGAGTCCCCTTATTACCAGTTTGTGTGCTTGCTATAATGTTTCTGGCGTGATATCTGGTGTTTGGTTTGTGGTAAAATAGTGGTAGATGTCGTCTTTTAATTGGTTGCAGAATTCATAAGCATCTTGTAGTTCTAGGGTTATTGTAGCGTGGTCCGACCATGTTGTGGTCCTATGGTGAGTTGGTTGAGGAAGGTGCCTTTTATATAAAACCCATCTATCCGCGAGTAAGTGTTGGGCACCTGAGAGAAAAGGGTATACTCCCTCTCCTCAGGGTGCTGCACCCTCCATGCGTCGTAAAAGTCATGTTCCTTAAGCAGTTGTGTTAGTGGTTTGCATTCCCTCTTGAGGGTAGCTAATCTGAAAGTGTTGGGCTGTACCGTGGTGTCCCATCTAGGGTCAAGTATGTGGTTTAAGTCGCCACAAATGATTGTGACGCCCCTCTGGACTGGTAGAAGTAGCGTGATTACTTTGTGTAGAAAATTCCTCTGATTTGTGTTTGGAGCGTATATGTTGACTATTGTGTGTTCTAGGTTATTGATTTCACATACTAGTATAATGTACCTCCCCTCTTTATCTATGGATTCGTATAGCAATTTAAAGGACACATCTTTGTAATGAGAATGGAGACCCCCTTGGTTTTGGAAGTAGAGGTACTGTGGAACTGTGTTGTGTATTGCGTCTGTGCTATAGTGATTGCTTTCTTGAGGTGGGTTTCCTGCAAACACACCATGTCAGGATGTTCTTTGCGCAGGTCTCTCGTGAGGCAGTACCTTTTCACCGGTGTGTTCAGTCCTTTTACATCATGGCAGTATATTTTCATATTCTATGGGGTTATACTGGGGGTTGTTCGAGCTTTAAGACTAGTGTGTCATTACTGTTATCTCTGGGTCCCGGTTTGTTGCCCACCTGCCCCTTTGCAGTGTGTCCCATGCATTTGTGAGCTGGATTTCCTCTTAGCGGTACTGGGATGTGTGGTAGATCCCAGTGTGATCTTCCCTGATGATGCGCTACTTCTCCCTGATTCCTATGTTTCCCAACAACAAGGCTTACGTTGTGGTTTGGTACCTGTCTGGTGGTGTTGGCTAGGGTAAGAGGGTATACGGGTAAAGAAACAGTAATGCAACCATTATGCATAACATTTGAAGTGAACATTGTAACATAAATAACAAACATTAGTTCAATAACACGTGTGAACATTTCCCACTGAAGGGTGGGGCACCAGTTATGTGGTGCCGGTGGGTGCGTGGTTTACACTTAAGATGAAAAAATAAAGTGTTACTAGGTGAGCACGCTATGCCCAGTGCTCTCTATTGTTTAACTTGCGTGCGGCCGATATCTGAAGTGCAAGAGATATGGTGAGTGGAGGTTTGTACATGAGTGGAGTGTACAGTATAATCAAGATTTAATGGGTCTTGGCCCCTCTTGTCCCCCCTTGGTCTTTTTTTTTTTTTTTGTTCTTGTTAGTGTGTCTCGGTGAGTTCTTTTTGGGATGCTAGGCATAGCTGTATGCCATTTTAATGGTACAACTATGTGCATTATGAAGTGATTGTGAAACTACATATATGTGTAGCGTGTGTCCGGTGTACTTGCAACTCGGTGTCTGTTCCACTCCATCTAGTGTCACTATTATTCCGCATCTCATGCAGTAAGGAGCTCAGATTAGTGTGACCATCCGCGTTGCTCGCCAAGCCACGCCCCCGTGCGCAATGTTTTTGAGATGAAAATGACAGGATTTGGCAATAGATTGAACATGAGGCTTGAAGGAGAGGTCGGAGTCAAAGAGAACACCTAGGCAGCGAGCCTGCGTGGTGAAGCTGATGGTAGCACCGTTGACTTGGAGGGAGACAGACACAGGAGTTGCAACACTTGAGGGAGGAAAGACCAGAATTTCAGTTTTTGTCAAGTTTAGTTTAAGGAAGTGGGCAGCCATCCAGTTAGAAATAGCAGAGAGGCAGTCAGAGACACTAGTCAAGAGGGACGGGAGAGATCAGGAGAGGATAGGTAGATTTGCGTGTCATCTGCATAGAAATTATATTGGAAGCCAAAGGAGCTAATTGATTAATACTTCTACTTCTCTGTAGAATGCAGTTAGGTTAGTTTCACATGACCTTTGTTTCATACAACCATGCTGATTATTGCTAATAACAAAGTTCTTCCCAATGAATTCCTGAATATTATCCCTTAATAACCCTTCAAATACTTTCCCAGAAGTTAAGCTCACAGGTCTATAATTTCCAGGCAAGGATTTTGAACCCTTTTTAAATATAGGAATGACATCTGCCTTTCTCCAATCCTGTGGTACAAATGCTGAAAGCAAAGATTCTTGAAAGATTAAATACAGAGGTTCACTTATTCCCACACTTAGCTCCTTAAGTACTCGTGGGTGAATACCATCATGCCCCGGAGCTTTATTTACATAAATTTTCTTTAACTACTGTTGCACCTTGTCTTGAGTCATCCAATCACCAGTTATCTGCAAATGTCTTGCAGTAATCATTTGCAGATCTCTTGCCATAGGATCATCATTATTATATACTGAAGAAAAATAGTCATTCAAAATGTTTGCCTTTTCCTGGTCTTCATTAACTAACATTTCCACCTCTGTTTTCAGTGTACCTACACTTTGATTTTTTTTTAGAATTGATGTTGTTTTTGCTTTCTTTGGCTGTAATTTTCTCATTTCCTAGTTTAGCCACTTTAATTGCCTTTTTGCAAGCATTATTGGCTTCTTTATATTTTATATAGGATGCCTCTGTTTTGTCTGATTTAAATGCTTTAAATGCCATTTTCTTATTTTTAATCTTTTGTTTTACTTC